AGTTGGGGGGGCTGCAGGAAATGGGTGAGATAGGAGCAAAATTGCTCCTAAGCGAATTAGGAGGTTTTCTCTGAGTTTTTTTTTCACATCCGTGGCTCCTTAACCCCCGCGGCGCTGCCTGTGCCGGCCCCGCCAGCCCCTGCCCTGTCCCCGCAGTCACCACCGACCCGCCGTCGGACGTGCACGTCAGCCGGGTGGGGGACCTGGAGGATCAGCTGAGCGTGCGCTGGAGCTCCCCGCCGGCGCTCAAGGATTTCCTCTTCCAAGCCAAGTACCAGATCCAGTACCGGGTGGAGGACAGCTCGGAATGGAAGGTGGGTCGGCATCACCTGCCGACGGTGGGGGATGGCGTGGGATGCCCAACCGTGCCGGTGCTGCCCTCTCCTCCCTCCCCAGGTGGTGGATGATGTGGGCAACCAGACGTCCTGCCGCCTGGCCGGCCTCCGCCCCGGCACAGTCTACTTCGTCCAGGTGCGCTGTAATCCCTTCGGCATCTACGGCTCCAAGAAAGCCGGCATCTGGAGCGACTGGAGCAACCCCACCGCCGCCTCCACCCCGCGCAGTGGTGAGCGCCGCCGGCATCGCTTGGCAGGCAGGGAGGGGATGCCGGCAGCGCTGTGCTCCCCCTCCCCTGCGCACGCGGGACGTGCAGGGGGCCCTTCCCTGCTCCGTGCCCGGCACCTGGATTTCTTGCAGAAGAGCCAATTTGGAGCTCGGCTTTCCCAGCAGGAAGCCAAAAAGCCGCTCATTTTCCTCTCACCCAGTTATTTATGGCGCGGGGGGGAGGGTTGAGCCGTGTCCCCCCACAGCGGCGCTGACCCCCTTGTCCCCGCAGAGCGAGCGGCGGGGGGCTGCGACCCCAAAGGGGGGGAGCAAAACACGACGTTGCGGCGGGGGGGGGAGGAGGTTTTTGGGGGGGGGGAGAAAAAAAGAAACACGCCTACGGCTGCTCCAACCTCGGCATCAAGCTCTACGACCAGTGGCGCGTGTGGCTGCAGAAATCGCACAAAACACGCAACCAGGTAGGTAAGGAGCCTTTCGCACTTCTTTTCCCCGGCTGGGTGGGGATGGGGGGGATGCGGGGTGAGCCCCCCCACCCCTGGGATGCTGTGGGGAGGACGCGGGGTGACCCCAGGGCGCGCGGCCGGCGGCGACGCGGGGCTCTGCTCCTCTCCGCAGGTTCTTCCCGGCGATAAGTTGTAGCCCCTGGGGG